AGCCCAAAAAATATGTGACCCCAAGCGAGGGCTTTAGTGGCCTAGGAGTTAAGACGACCCTAGGCTACAATCTCATTTTCCCTCAATGTTCTAGACCTATGATCCAATAGACCGTAACATCCAAAGAATGTAATATTAATGCAAATAATTCAAAGGTCAAGGCGGCTTGCTCGGAGAAATGAGAGATTTTTTAGTTGACTAATGATATGTTTAATTAAGAGACCATTTTAGTATTTATTTTTACATTTTTTAGTATGAAATGCAGAACAAACAACGCATATAGAACCTTTTTTTCTTCTTCCATTTTCTCTTAATTTTGACTTAGCAAAATGATGAGGTACGATAAATCACAATAATAAATACTTTTCAAAGATATCAATAAATTAATGAACCTTAAATTCTAGTTAAAAGTGCTGGAACACACAAAAGCAAGGGTTTAGGAATAAATGACTAACTTTATTACTATTAATTACTCCAGGTTCATTATTAATTGTTCATAGACTTGAAACCAACTTTGTTCCTACCATGTTGACTTCACATTCCATAATTTGCACTAACAATTTTAAAAGGTGAAAGCATACGAATACTTCTTAAAATGTTTAGAGATTAATTTGTTAAAGTTAAGTATGCATATATAGTTGTATATACTATCAAACAGTAAACTTAGGGTCATTTGTTGCTGGTTATTTATTAATTAAAAGTTTAAAATAAGCATATATTTGATATTTTTTTATTTTAGTTTATGTGAAGATATTTGACAAGGCATAGAATTTAAGAGAGAATTTTTTTTTTTGAAGCTTGTGATCTAAAATAAGCCATATAAATTTTGGTGGCTACAAATAATTTCATTAAAAGTAAAAAGAAAAGTTCAACTTCAAATTGTTACTAAATATGAAAATGTCATTCTTTTTAGAACGATTTAAAAAAAGGAAGTGTCACAAAATTCGGACAGAGAGCATACAATAGAAGGTAGTATCTTTTTAGTTGCTTTGTATAAATTTAGCACATTAAATACAGTATGGTTATCATCTTATAATCTCACATATTAAAAATATGTGTAAATTATATGAATCAATTCACGTATTGTTTTATACATAATAAAAGATGAAAAATTAATACATAGATAATTTAACCCAGAACCATGCGTAACTACTAACTAGTTCATCCTTAATTAATTAATGAATTACAAATACTTTGCATTATAACTTCTATAGCAACCAAATTAACTTTTCTTTAATTTTTCTATGTCGTGGGTCATATTTGTCCCTCTATTATTGATAAATGTGTGATATTTTCTTTCGTTATACTATAGATTCATATATGCTCTTAATAATATAACACCAAAGCATTATAGTTGAATGAGTATACTAATATAAAATATATATTTAAACTATTTCAAATAGTAACTAACATATAGCTTTTTTCCTTTTTATCAATTATACTGTGGAGAATTCTTCAACAACACGTGAGGCTTGTAAATGGTCAAAGTAAAACCTGTAAATGTCATTGTCCACATTATGTTGTTGTGATATTCTGGGAATGTTGATCCCCATAATATTCCAAACATAATGGAAATATAAGTCAAAGCTTTTCTTGAACATAAATTTCTTTGTCCTTTCATCCAAAGTTCAATTATATAAATATTTAACTAATCTTAATTACTAGAGAGATTAAGAGGGAAAATACATGAATCCTATAATAGGATGTTGCACTAATCACTTGTTAACTCATAAAACAAGACTATTATGTGGTCAAAACATTAATCGAATATGGAAAATGAAAAAGAAAGATGTGTTCAGACATATCTATAGGTGTGGGACATGTCTAAATTAATTTTCTAAATGATAGAGTTGACGTTTGAATTTCTATCTATCCTTAGGTCTTTCTTTAAACCAATTTGTCATTTTAAAATTGATTTCGAGGCATTTTTTTCTTTTTTGGCTATCTTGCATGGACAAGCAAACATTGCATTGATCATCTCTTGACATTTGCTATATATAAAAATTATACATGTAGCAAGTTGAACTTGAAGTCGAAGTACTATATAATAATCGTTTCAAATTTTTAATAGCTTTAAATCAAAAAATAAAAAGTCAAGCTTAAATGACTTTTAAGTTAAAAAAATAAAAAGTAGAGAGTTATTTTTGGGTTTTAACTTTTGTAAAGTCATTTTTAACTTATAATTAAGTTATTTTTAATCTTATCAAACATTTCTAAAAGCTATAAATGACTTAAAAATAGGTTTGACCGACTTTTAAGTCAATCCAAACAAATCCTAAGTTACATGCTAGATGGTGCTATTACAAAAAATGAACAACTAAATAGGGATGGAGGGAGTATTAATTAGCGAATTGTTCGTCGTTGGCGTTGTGCTTTATTATCATTGTCCTACAAGATTTTGGAATGTTTTCATATTCGACCTTTTGTTCATAACCCAAACACTATGTATAATATTTGTTGTGTCTCTAATTATTTGTCCACTTTTGAATTGATGCATCTATTAAGAAAATAATTATTGATATAATAGATTATCATTTTACCCCTATTAATTATAAAGTGGATGAATTAAAAACTTAAGATTTTCAAGAAGTTTTACCTTTTTTTAAAGTAATTAATTGAGGGTATAATAGGTAAAAGAAAATTGTCCTTTCTTAATTTGTCAAAATGTACAAGTAATTATGGACAACTATAAAAGGAAAAGTGGACAAGTAATTAGGGACAGAGGGAGTAAATTATGAATGTGTTGTATATCATATTTTGGAGAAGACGGAGGGGCAGTGGCAGAGCTACTGTGTTAGAAGGGGGTTCAAACGAAATAGAAAAATAGCGTTTGCGTCCTACCCTAAAACAATATCTAACTATTGATTTCTACTCAGATATAAGCCAAATTTATTTTCAATAGTTAGGATTCTAACTTTTATTATTGATTTGATTGCTACTATCTGACCTCTGCCCTCCGGTATGTACTATGTACTCTTATCTCTTCTTTTTCTATTTTTTTCTTATTTGTTTGTTTTTACCCTATATAACTATCTATTCAAAATTAATTTTTAATCTTTCATTCTAGGGTTATTCCACATATTGCTAATGGATTATATTAAAATAATTGTTGTTTGCTTTTCAAAATCTTAACTTTTGAAGACAATAATGGATCTAGGTGATAATGAAACTAATAAAATATATGTTTTAGGTGCCATAATGTTAATAGTGAATTTAATAATTTTAAACTTACTTAGAAAAATATTGAAGATTATAGTAAAACTGTTCGAAATTTATATTAAAAAATCATTCATATTTTATAAACAATATTTTAAAATTTTAAAATCAATTACTCAAATCTTCATAAATCATATTATTAAATTAAGTTTTACAATAACATTATCTAAGATAATGTTTTCAAACATGACTACCATCTCATTAACATAATTTGTGTTTTTGTGATTTTTAGGATTCAAATCGCCGTTTTTTTAGTGAATTAAATACTTGCATATTTATTCATTAATTTGACGGTTGTTCCTTTAGGTAAGATTATTGTCCTTTTTTAAAATTTAGAATTCATATGTCTGAAATCATGATTTCGCCTCTGCGGAGGGGGGAACTAGACCTTACCCGTGATATGTAAAGATATGACACCTGGACCTAACTCAACCCCAAAGGCTAGCTCATGAGGAAAGATTTGTCCAAATCTAAATAAAGAGACCAAATTCTCATCCCTCTACGGCTCTACCGATATGGGACATCTTAACCTGATATACAATCACAGATTGCAAGCAATCTGACCAAAAAACGGGTGTTCACAGCCTTTCTATCGTAACTTGGCTAAATATTGTCATGTATGCATGTGGTAAGGAGCATAGGGTTGTGGAGAATGTACGGAGAGAGAAGTTTGAAACATTCACTTCAAATTAACATATTCTGTTTTTAACGTTAACCAAATATTATATCCATTTTTTTTTATTAAATAAACTAAGGAATGATCCAAATAAATATTAAATTTGTGATTATAGTACCTCGTGTTTCGTCTAATGCGGTCAAAAAGGATTTTATGTTTGTCCTCTTATTCATACTTACTAATTAAGTCAAAGTACTAAGAAGTCTTATCTTAATTAATCAGATGAAAGTCTCTAATTTATCGTTAATGCTTGTAGTTTTTGACCTTTGACTTGTTTGTTTTGCAAATTTCTCTTGGTTGCTTCCTTTATTTTGTGAAAATTGTTTGACTAATGTCATATTTTGATAATTAGAGTAACCAATAAAATGTAGTACTTGTAATTGTTTTCAAGAAAATGAACAAAATTACTTCTTCCATTTTAATTTGTTTATCCTATTTTCTTTTGTAGTCGGTTTAAAAATGAATCTTATTATCCCTTGATAGCTTTTTAATTCTAACTTTCCACGGGACATGCTTAAAACAACAAGATTAAAAGATATTTTGGTACATTCGACATATTTTTAGTTCAATGCCACACAATTAAAAAAAATACTTCTCATTGTTTTATCATTTTAAACTGTATCAAGTCAAAACCAAACAAACAAATTGAAACGGAGGATGAAAATGCCTATTGAGGTTCTTTTTAAGTCTTCTTTATGCATAAATATTTTAGGCTAGCAGTTGGATTTATGTAGCAAATTTTGCAAGAACATCCCCTTAATGTCATTTATGATCTTCTAGATTTTCCAAAGAAGTTTATAGCTTGTATTAATCATGTGGTCGTGAGTCTAGGCAATTCCCAATTCTATTTCTAACAATTCCTCTGGCACCAGCCTTATTTAGATTTCTTATATATTATGTAAACTACCATTATTTTGGGGTTAATACAAGAAATTCTCTTCAGATACCAACAAAGCCCTAGTATACTATATATTTTTTTTTTCTTACATTACTTCGGAAAAGTCCTTATACTTATAGAATTTGAGAGATTGAACAATCATGTTGTTTTGGACGAACAAATACATATGTATGTTTAATTTAAGAGCTCCAAACATTACAAAGTACGTAATTCAACAAACTTAACATAATGGCCATGAATTCGAAATGCATACCACATATATGTTGCTCGTACGTAGTACTACTAACTAATTAGAAGACATCAAAAGGAACATAATTAAACCTCCGGTGCCACTTAGATCTTCAGATTATCCGCTGCCAAATATAGCTCCAACCAGAAATCAACAACATTAGATGAATGAACACTCACATCCATGAAATCATTTATGTGCAAATCAACACTACTTGATGATGAAGACGTACTACTCTCTGGATTACTCTCCAATATAACTATGTTATCGTCGTCATGAACTTGATTGACAATTGAAGTAACATCATTGTCTTGATTAGATGTTTCCAAGATTTCATAATTTTCATCAAATGTGATGTAGCTAGAGGAGGAGGAGGAGTTGGTGAAATCAAGTGATTGATCATTAGGACCTTCAATATTTGGACAAGTAGTTATCAAAGGCTTCTTTTGATTACTCATCTCTAATTGTTTGGCTTTCTTCCTTGATTTAGGTTTCACTTCATCTTTTCTCCCATGGTGCTTCTTTAAATGTGTATGGTAGAAATTCTTGATTTCGTTATCTGTTCTTCCAGGCAATTCTTTAGCTATAGCTGACCACCTTTAACAAAACAAAACATATAATTGGTTCCTCGGAAATGAGGCATGAACTATATATATCTATATATGTTACTAAGGCTAAGGTTTAATTCTTACTTGTTTCCAAGTGATTGATACATTCTAAACACAATTTCCACCTCCTCCATGCTAAAAGGTCCTTTCTTTAGATCAGGCTTCAAGTAGTTGATCCATCGGAGTCTACAACTCTTTCCGGTTCTTGATAGCCCTAATTAACAACAATAACAAAAATATATACATATGTGATGATGAAACCCTAAAAGCAACAATAAAACCCTTAATATTAGTATTGTTTGGTTAAGTCTAATTCTTTCCCCTATAGGAAATGAATAGATGTTCCAAAAAAACAAAGACAAGTGAATGAAATATATATAGCTAGTGTTATTTGTTGTTGAACCTGCAAATTTGGGCATGTGGGACCAATTCCAAATACGATATTGCATGATATAATCAATCATTTTTTGGTCTTCTTCAGGAGACCATGCTCCCTTCTTTACATAATCCATAATTATGGAACTTCCAATTAATCACAAACCTTAATTTCTATATTTATAAGAGGGAGGGGGTAAGTCTTCATTTTCCAAGAAAGTTCCCCTCACTTTGACACTACTACATGGTATTTATAAAATGATTATTTAAGTAGACTTTTGGTCATGTTTTGTTGTGATAATTGAAGAGAGAAAAGAAACATAGTATTTGTTTTCAAAAGTGAAAAAAATGATTTTTTGAAAATTGGCAAATTATGAAAATTATTTAATAAAGTTATCCAAGTCTTTACAAATCTCCTATAAATAACTTAAGTTAAAACTCCATATATTGGCACCTATTAATTACTTAAGAAAAATTACATAAATATAAGTCTTATTTACCATAATTTCTAAAATTTTCTATCATTTAAAAAAATTACAAAAAATCCTCTCGGATGCATCCCTATCCTCTCTCTGATACACTCCTCCCCTTTTGGGTGCATCCTTATTCTCTCGGATACATCCTTCTCATTAAGTAATGTATCATTTGCAATTCGTGAGCTATGTTAGCCGCAGGTTTCCTCATGTATCCGAAATCCTATAATTTTAAGAGATTTTTGTAATTTGAAAAAGAATATGGATAAAATGTAATTAGCTCTTAGCATTATGAAATTTATGTAATATTTACATTATTTAATCCATTTTGAAAAGTCAATGTATCCGACACCAACAACCCAATCAAAATGGCACTTCTATAGTAACTTCTTTAAAGCACATATAAATAATTTATATAATAAATAGAAATTTTAAAATGAGTCACGTTTCATCATCGATGTGGAACAAAATATTCTGAATTTTGTAAGCATTCTCTTTGTTTCAATTTTAATTTTGATATGGAATTTAAAAATAAAGAAAATTTTGAATTTTGTGATGTTAAATTACAGAAATATGAAATGTACTAAAATATTCTTTAATTTTGTTATTGAACTCTTATCTCATATAGAAAAGTTACAATTGAGCAAATGCTAAATAAAAAAGAAAAGATTTTTTTAAAAAGATAAAGAAAAAAATTTGAAACGGAATGAGTATATAATAGGAATGAAGTTAGTTGTATACCATACTTGATGACTGAATCTTCTTAAAGTATTGTCAAATATATTTAGTGTTTCTAATATTAAAACATTACTAGAATATTTTAGTCTATGTGATTGCATATTCTTTGGTGCACATTAAAAGATGTTTTGCTTATTGTCAAATTCAATTATTTCTCTGGCATAAAAAGATATAACTTGGAAAGGATAATTGCGATAAAAATAATGAAAAAGGCTTAAATATATCATCGAACTTTAATAAAAGGCTTATTTATATTCTTCGTTAAAAAATTAGCTTATCAATACCATTCTCATTTGAGAAAAAGATTATTCATGCCAGCATTTATTAACTAAATGGCATAGATATGATAAAATCAACATTCAAGTCATTAGGAAAAAATTCCCTCTAGAAAAATAGATTTAACTAAGTTTGTTTTATAGTTATTTCTTTTAAGTAGTCCATGAGAATTACACAATCTTCTGAATTTTCAATCATAGCTTTCACCCTATTCTTTTGTTTCTTTGTGAAAACTCGTTTGAATATCTTTATTAACATCATAATTTTTCGAAACACACACAAAATATGATTATGACTAACTATATATCACAAAAAATGATACAACAATTTTGAATTAAAAAAATCTTGTATGAAATTTAATAAAGAGATTTAATTACGATCTACTTTTAAAGTTTAAGATAATTAAATACCTAAAATACATTATTTTTTTTTTAAATTATGGCAGTTCTTGATATATTAAATCAATCTGCCGACAACGTTTTTTTAAAATCTAAAAAACTATTTCTATAATGCCGACATGAGTGATCAGCCGATAGTATAACAGTGACACTATCACAAAAATAATTTTTAACGATAATAAATAGAAACATTAATAAAGAGTGCTAAAGTATTTATCGACATTAATTAAGTATCAGTAGATTCAATGTCGCTAAAGGCTTTAAGAACATATACAACAAGGGTTAATTACCGCTAAAATTATATATTTAGCAGTAATTGAGCTATTGCCGTTCATCAATTGCCACTAAAAACCATTTTTGATACAGTGACAACACACTCCCATGGGTGTCAAAACTCAAATGCAAAGAAAAGATAATATGGAATTCAAATAAGAATCATAATCTAATGGTAAATAAAGAGTGTTGTTTTTGTATTGCTTAGTATTCACTAGATACCTTACCAAATAAAGAAAATAAATTATTTATAAATTACAAAGATAGAACATTAGCTAATAAAAAAGTTTCACTCAAATCCTAAAATACTAAATTAATAAACGTTGCTCACATAGTAATATCGTTAGTGGTTCCACTATATATTTTTCTATCTGTTAAAATAAAAAATAACGAAGTCGGAGCTAGCTAGCTAGTTCTTGTGCGTTAGTCTTTAGTATTCAATAAAATAGATTTAAATATTTTACATTGTCATAAATAAGTATTTTTTTTTTATGGATTTTTATCCAAATAAACGTCAAGGCTCAAAGTTGCAAGTGGTAGCCGCCCCTGCCACCTAAGCATAGCAACTATTTTGGAAAAAAAGAGACGTGTGATTAGTGACAGGTGAGTGGAGATTAAAGAGAGGCAATGTTTAATTGCTTGCTAATCAAGTAACTTTAGATATAAATCCCCTAACATTTTTTTTTGGGGGGGGAGGGGGGATTTCTTTTACTTAAAAACAATTGGAATAAAAAAATATTTTTTTTTTCAATTTATATGATGTAATTTGACTATATTAAGAAAGTTAACAATAATAACTCATACAATTGTCAAATTATTATATGTTCTGGCCCCAATATTCTCTATGGGTCACCTCGAGCTTTTGGGGCCTCATATTTTTTGTGCTCTTAAGCTTTAACCTAAAAGGTTCGTTATAATTGAATTATGAACTCACTCTTATGTGACCTTAACTTTTCCTCTCATTTTTGATATTGTAGAGTTTGTCTAATTTGAGTTTCATATTTGATTCTTTTTATTGAATTCAAATCATATTATTTGTTTTTTTATTAAATCTGATTATGAAATGTCTGATCTCTAAGTTGGATTTCCTCATATACTCCTCGTGAATTTATGGGCTATAATCTCATTTTCCCTCAATGTGCTCCAGACCTATGATCCATATAGATTGTTACATCTAAATTATAGAATGCAAATAATTAAAAGGTTAAGGTGGTTTGCTTGGAGAAATGAGAGATCTTTTATTGACTAATGATATGTTCATTTAGAAGGCTTTAGGGAATTAAAGGTTTAATTAAGAAGACCTTTTTAGTATTTATTTTTACATCTTTTTAATATGAATAGCAGAATAAACAAGGCAAATAGAACCTTTTTTCTTCTTCCATTTGCCCTTAATTTTGACTTAGCAAAATGATGAGGTACGACAAATCACAATAATTAGTACTTTTTGAAGATATCAATAAATAAATTATCCTTAAATTTTAGGTTAAAGTGCAGAAACACACAAAAGCAAGGGTTTAGGAATAAATGATTAACTTTATTACTCCATGTTCATAGACTTGAAACCAACTTTGTTCCTAACCAAGTTGACTTTACATTGCATAATTTGCTCTATAATAATGGATAATTATATTTTAAAAGGTGAAAGCATAAGATGTGAGAGATTAGTTTGTTATTCATATGAACACAGCTTAAAACGTTAGAGATTAATTTATTAAAATTAAGTATGCATAGTTGTATACTATCAAGTTCCAAACATTAACCTTAGGATCGTTTGATTGTTGGTTAGGAAGTTATTTATTTAAACAAAAAAACAAAAGTTTAAAATGAGCATATTTATTATTTTTTTAAATCTTAATTTATCTGAATATGTTTGACCATGCATAGAATTTAAGAAAAAATGATTTGTTCTAAAAAATATTATTGTAATCTAGGGGTGTGCAAAAACCGATTTAACCAATATATCGAACCGAAAAAAATACTATTGGTTTATTGATATTGGGTTATTGGGCTAACGGTTTTTAAACAATTTCGCAAATTTTTTTATTGGGTTATTGGTTCGGTTTCCGATTTTATGATTTTTGTTAATGGTAAACCGATAACCCAATAAGACTATACTAAATTTACTATTTTATCTCTAGACCAGTAAACCCTAATTATATAACATTTTACAAACCCTGTTACTTTAATCTCAGTATTACTTAATACCCTAATTATTGTTTCATTTTGTAATTGCAAGCACACTTCTAACTTGCCTAGACTTGCTGAACAACGATTGTTACTTTCACACTTTTTCCTTTGAATGTATCTAGTGTCTAAACTTGCAAGAAAAATGATTGTTACTTTTATGATTATTACTTTCATGCCAAATGCTGGAAAAATCATATGGTTTATATGAAAATTTTCTTATCGTGTGTATTAATATATATGAGTATTTTCATATTGGTTAAATCGAAAACTGAATCGTTAAGTACCATAAATCAATTAACCAAAAAATGATAAGAAATATGTTATTGGTTTGGTTATCGGTTTGACGTATTTACAATTCGATAAATCGAACCAATAATACATAAAACCGAACCGAACCGACCGATGCGCACCCCTATTGTGATATAAGACTAAAATAAGTCATGATATAAATTTTGTGACTATATATAAATATATTCATTAACGGTAAGATGAAAAATTTAACATCAATTGTTACTAAATATGGAAAACGTCATTTTTTAAAGATTATTTAATTTAAAACAGAGAATGTGTCACAAAATTGGGACATAAAAAGTAACATATAAGGTAGCTTTTTAGTTGATTTGTATCAAATTTAGCATATTAAGTACAATATGGTTATCATCTTATAATCTCACATAATAAAAATATGCGTAAGTTATGAGTCAATTTATATACTATTCTCTCCGTTCACTTTTACTTGTCACTTATTTCTAAAAAAAAATTCATTTTTACTTGTCACTTTTGACATATCAAGAAAAGACAATAATTT